GCCGGATTTCCTCCTGCGAGACCACCACGCCGCTGCCATGGCCGCCTCCTTCCTCGGCCCTGACCCGTACCATCACCATCACGCGCTCCTGGGCCCACACCACGCGGCGTTACACCCTGGGCCTTACCCCTACCTGTCCCCACTGCCACCCGCGGTGCCACTCCTTCCACCCGCAGATTTGGCCCGTCTCTCGCTGGGACCTCTGGGTCTCAACCTCCTGACCTCCCAGCAGCAACCGCCGTTTCCGTGCAAGCCTGTCCCCATGAGCGTCACGGCCACGCACAGCGACACCGGCAAATCGACGGCGGGAGGAAGCAGGAACGGGTTCAGCATCGACTCGCTGATCGGCAAAGTACAGGGGAGTGTGTCGCCCAGCAAACCGACGCCTCTACCCTTGCCGGCCCGTCTCGGACCTCTCGCGCTGGCCCAGCTGAAGGCTCGGCCCGGTCTTCAGGTACTAGAACCATCGAATTCGCAGACGTCGGGGCCCGCAGTCACCCGAAGCCTCGACTCCGCGTTCTCGCCTCTCACTTCTGCGGGCTGGGCGCGGTAATTTTCGACGACGGAGCTGGCTTCCGTACCCACCAGTTCCGAGACTCGAATTCGTGTGGATAAATACATTCGACGTGCATGTCTGTATAAATGTGTAATATATTTTAGAGGCGTTATATATTAATTATATGACATACCCGGTCGATGTGTATGTGTAAACGGTAGGGCCCAGAACACGATATGCTTTTCGAAGTGATAAGAACTGATCTCGTCCGATGAATTTGAAATGCGTGGCCTGACTTTGAACGCTGTTGTGTTGACGGCTGGTAATTTAGTATGTGTTGTGTTTGTTTTGTTTTTTTCTTCTCATTGTTCCAAACCAAAGTCGTAATGTGTATGTACAGTAAAACATGTAACATGTCAGTATTATTGATGTAATTTTTCTAACATTGTGCCGAGTGGAACAATGGAACAGCTTACACCGAACATGCTAGTCACAAATTCAAATTCTCTTGTCATTTTATTTACTTGTGGTAGTGACCCCAACCTTTGGATCGTTCCATAAGTGTTTGTAGACTGGCCCCTTTTTCAGCCTTGAGTGTTCAAAATTTTATAGAAAATGTAATTAGAATGGTGTACTAAGTTTTACGCTGAATTACATTGAATGTACATTCATTTTCCATTACGCTGACGAAATCGATATATTTTCTGTGGAGTCACTTGATATAAGCAACAGATACATATTACATGCGTTGATATCTTAAGCGTGGGTCACTGCGGGCCACTCACAGATGTAAGAGACTTGAGATGTAATTGTAAAAATGTTTACAGGGACCTGTGTGTCTCAGACATACTGATAGCCTACGAAAACTCCCTAAGCTAGATTTTACAATATAGAGTAAACAAACCAACAACTATTAACACTATAATAGACACTATTACCATACGCGTTTCGACCTCAAGAGGTCATCTTCAGTGGCATCAGGGAAATTAATACATTTAGTCAACTGGTTCGAACTAATTCTGAATCTAGTTCGAACCAGTTGACTAAATGTATTAATTTCCCTGATGCCACTGAAGATGACCTCTTGAGGTCGAAACGCGTATGGTAATAGTGTCTATTATAGTGTTAATAGTTGTTGGTTTGTTTACTTTATATTCTAATACACTACACGGTATGCAAAGTTTTAAGATTAGATTTTACAAGTTAAAAAATTCACATATGAAAATTAAATATCTTTATTCCACTTTTCCACAAAGTTAGGTATTAATATTCCATTTTTCGTTCTTGATTAAATCAAGACGGACGTAACCTGTAGCACATTTGGGAAATTTATAAACAGGCAAAATGTAGGACTACAAATTTTCAGTCCCGAAATATCTGTAGGTCTCTTTGTGAATTGGGAAAATCTTAAAATGGTTCGTACATACATAGGTTTTAAATTGTCTTTTATTAGAGTCCAAAAGCGGTCAACAATCAACTCGGAAATTATTTGCCTTCGTTCACAAACACTAAAATTCTTTGTCAGTCGAGTAACAATCATCTTTTTTCTCGGAGAACGCTGGCATTGAGGGACGAGGTTATAAATCAGACTCGTCTTCGTGGTTTAAAATGTAAGAACTACAACCCATATTGTTGTCTTGTCATTGGACTGGTATTTGCTCTTGGCTTCTAATGAAATACAGTTAAAAGCCATTTCTCTCCGCTCTGTAAATAATGCGATACATGAATATATAAGGAAATAAGTAGCCTTCTACAGGTGTTTCCCTTGTTTTATTACGCAGTGATCATTGTTTAGATTTATTGCGAGTGTAAATTTGGTGCGTACGTACGTGCAGTGTGTACAGAATCTTACGAGACATTTCAACAAACATTTAAGTCCACAACCAGACTTGATAATGCGGTCTGCTTACTAGAGGTTAGAGCAGAATAATAAGTTGGTAAACTTTGAAATGCCACTCTCTGTCTATTGCATTCAACTTTTATCTTAACTTTCAGTCTGTTATGTTGCCTGTCTGTTCATATAACTTAAACGGCTTGCATTAGCGACTAGCTGTGTAAAACAGAAAAGAGATTTATTTCACATTAAAAGTATAACATTCTCTCTCTCTCTCTCTCTCTCTCTCTCTCTCTCGGTTGATGTACTTCGGCGGAGGTCGGGCGAATTGGAGACTCTTAAGAGCTATCTCTGCTATGAAATTGTGGACCCTCCCGGTTTTAAAACAAATACAAAGACGATTTGGGGTAATGTTTTTAATTTATCGAGGTCTAGCATTGAAGAATGCTAGACCTCTTGTGTTTTTTAATTTATTTTAGAATAATTATAGCCGCTAGCTGCCATGACAGTGGCACATTAAGTTATTATTATTAAACACTTCAAAATTGTAGTTCTATTGTTGGGGGGGGGGGGGTTGATAATATCGCGTTTTCGCTGAGAGATAGTCTTAATGTTTTAAATTTATCGTCTCTGTTTTGTTACAAATTTAAATTTTAAATATAAATATTATAAGAACTGTTGGCTTTAATGTATGATTTCCGGAATATTTAATTGTTGTAATGTCTCGTCATGATACGAATTAAATAAATTCTAAACGAGAAAGCAAATAACACGCCTGTTTTTAACTCGAAATATGTTCTTGAGGAAATTGGAAGGTGTCATGATATTTGTCTTGACAAAGTTTTCATTTAGTAGTCCATTAATTTTAATTAAGGATTTAACTTGCAGGCCTAGTAGACTGCTCTGTTATCGACAAAGCTTCATAGCCAGCCACACCTGCTCATTTTATGCGAATAATTCCTGAAATAAGAATTACTCTAAGAAATGATTTCACTGCCGTACGTTTAAGCTGATTCCTGGCTGGAAAAGTGAATGTGAAAGTTAAACTATGAATTCAAATCTGTTCCCCCTTTTAGGCCTATATAAATAGGATCCAGTAATTACCAAAATAAATATTGACGATCACAGTTTCGTTCAATACGAAAATTTTAGAAAAAAATATAACAGCATAAATAATTTTAAATTTTCTCGTTATAAACGATTATATTTTATTTCCGGTAGTGATAATATTAACAATGTAAATTCTTTCGAGGTCTGGCCTATTTAAAATATATCTGTGTAGCCCATAAACCAGATAGACTACCATAGGCCAAAATTTTCGATTAATTTTTCTGAGCTAAAAAGTTATGTAGCATCGAATTGTAACCTGATAGTGGACACAAATAATGATCGGGCCACCATTAAAAGTCATTACGTAAAGAGAAAAAGTTAGACAAATACATCTTCAGACTCGCCGCTGTGGGAGCTTCAAATCCTACGAAGATTACGAGTATATTGAGTCATCCGATTATGATGTACTAACATTTGACAGTCTTGAATTTACCTGATATATTTCAGGGGTACTAAATCGGAATTTAGTGGAATTTATTGTCCAATAAGAAGAAATATTTTACTACGTTAGTTGGGAGATGTAAACAGTTACGGTAATATAATAAAAATGGTATTCGAAGAGAAACTGGACATAACTTAAATAAATGATACTTTTTTTTCAAATGTTGGATATCATGGTATATTATAAATAATTATATGAAACCAAATGCAGTTCAAAGGCAATTTTGATTGGATTTATATAATATTTTAGCCACTGTGGGTTTGTAAAATGTGGAAATTGAAACAAAGAAATATTAATTTACGAAGACTAGACACAATAGCAGAATACATTTTATTATACCTAGAAAAAACTAAGATATTTTAGCAAGAACTCATCATAAACTCAATGTAAAAATTAATTATTACGATATAAGCAAAAGCAGATAGGTTAGGCTAAAAGGTTGTTAATTTTTAAACACTAAAGACAATTTTCTGACTAAACATTCGCTGAATACAAAGACCAGAGCAAATATTCAACAGTCTACTGAAGGTTAAAATTTTGAGGCCGAAACAGGACATTTATCGGCCAAAATTAGTGACTATCAAGAGTAGAATATCTTAGGTCTGCCCAAGCATGTTTAATTAATAAACTTTTCCAAATTAAATTATTGCATTATAGCCTAAGGCCAAAAATTTTGTGACAAAACGCAATGGTATAAAATATTAACCTGGGCTTCGTGGGTTTTTATAGCAGTTATAAACAATGTACACGGTTTTGTTGACACATTTAATTAACCTACACTGATAATGGCAGTAGTTTCCGCAAGCTAATATTTACACGGTAGCTGCAATACGTTTTCGACTAGTCTTGTGGAAACGTTGTGGCGAAATATATCACAATTTTAGTTCGTGTCAGAAAATTATGATTTCGACGTTGTGGCCACTCGCCGAATTGCGCCACGAGAGACTGAATAAGACCACGAAAAGCCACGAGCTTGCATCTTGGAATGCGAGAAGGATCCTTTAAATCAAATCTCCCATCTTTCTTTTTAATTATTAAGACTAATATACTGCCTTAACCTACTTCTGAAATAGTCTGTAAATTGTCATGTAAGCGAAGAGACCGATAAAGCTGATGTTTAACCCTCTAAAGCCGGAGATATTCTAGATAATATTTAATAATTCAGTCCGTACCGCAAAGAAAACACTACACTTCACCGTTACAAAAATCAACTGGTTAACGCTGTTTAAGGAAATGATCGCTGTTTATTCTGAAAATCATAAAGAACCCATAATATACTTTGTAAACAAGATGAAGTTATACATTAATAAACAAGGTGGTACATATGATTACCACTGGGCTAAAGTAATTAAAGCCGGAAATATTTGAGTCTGAAGAAAATGGCTTTACGTGAACTCCACAGGACCTTTACGCTTATGGATGACGACATGACGTTGGTTATTTAGTGACGACGTATTAAGTAACCGTCACGTTTTCTATCTAGACGATTTACATTTTTTAAATAATCTTTGTAATTATCCGGCGCAATATTTTCTGAAGTGCCTATTTGAGAGACCTGGTCATAGAAGGATGAAAACTGAATGCGATGGGGTGGACCGGATTCGTCTGTCTGAGGATAGGATCTAGCCGCAGGCTATTTTGAGTGTTCAAGGCACCGTAGGCTTCGTATTCGGGCGGTCACTGGTTCAAATACAGCCCCGAAGACAGGCTTCTCGCATTTTTCATCAGTCCCTGCAGACCAATGCCGGGATAATGCTTTTAATCACGTCACAGCCACTTACTTTATTCATAATTCACTAGGCTTAATTATATTATTCATTTTCATCGGTCTGTAGATTAATATGAATTATTTACGTCGTCATAAATAAATGGTGAGATTTCTGGTTCTCAAGGTGACTCTTCTATGATGATGGAGGCAGTAAGTAGGTCGAAAATGTCCTTCAGTGTTTACCAGACTGCACAGCGGAACATTCCAGAAGACACTCATCTTTCATACATGATAAATAAACATTCGAATATGTCGAAACAGCGTCGTTAAATAAACCAGCAACAAACAGATTCTGTAATGTTGTGAAGAAATCGTCGTTGAGCTAGAAACTTGCAGGTTTATTGGCCTCGTACGAAGGTGTCTTCAGCGATAAGGCGGGTTCACGTACGAGGTCTCTCAGGCCTGTGTTGATACACCATTGACGTTTCTTGTATAGATAAAATACAAAATATTTGGTTAAGAAAAGCTTTCTCTCGTATTCGCGTAATACCGTGTATCTGGCCTGAGACAGCTTTAATTAAATTGAT